ATGACTAAGTTGACTGGGAAGGATGTCAAGTTTATTTGGTCTAAAGCGTGTGTTAAGAGCTTCAAGAACCTGAAGGACCACTTAACCCGGACTCCTGTGCTTGTGCTACCAAGGCCGAGGGTGCAGTATATGGTGTATACCGATGCATCCGGGACAGGTCTAGGGTGTGTGCTTATGCAGGAAGGGCAGGTGATTACTTATGCGTCAAGGCAGTTAAGGCCAAATGAAGCTAATTACCCGACGCATCACCTGGAGTTAGCCAATGTGGTTTTCGCTCTTAAAATATGGCGTTCATACCTGTATAGGGAGAAGGTACAAGTATTTGATGATCATAAGAGTTTGAAGTACATCTTCACTCAAGGAGACTTGAATCTGAGGCAGAGGAGGTGGACAGAGTTGTTGGCGGATTACGACTTAGACATAGTCTACCATCCTGGGAAAGCTAATCAAGTGGCAGACGCTCTTAGTAGACGTAAGGCAGATGTTTCAAAAGGGAAGGAAGTGGAAGAACTTGTCGCGACCTTGGCTACTTTGAGGTTGTGCGCTATGTCTATTGATGAAGAGTCAACCGGGTTAGAAGCCTTAGATCAAGCAGATTTGCTGTGGAGGATCCGTGAAGCGCAGCAAGTAGATGATGCGGTACAGAAGTTGATCAACAAGGGATTCGATGGATATCACACTGCCGTAAATTGCACTTACTTGTTCAGAAACAGAGTCATTGTACCCGACAATAAAGACCTGAAAGACGAGGTCTTGCGTCAAGCTCATAACTCGACATTCTCTATTCATCCGGGAAATACAAAAATGTATCGGGACCTGAAGCGTTAATACCACTGGGATGGAATGAAGCGAGACATTGCCAAGTGGGTTTCTCAGTGTCAGACGTACCAGTTGGTAAAGGCAGAGCGCAGAGTGTCGAGTGGGTTATTACAAGACTTGCCGTTACCAGAATGGAAATGGGATATGGTGACTATGGATATTGTTACCGGGTTACCAAAGACAACCGGAAATAAGGATGTTAGATTGTTGATTGTGGATCGACTTACCAAATTGGCACATTTTCTGGCCATCAAGAAAACGAATGGGGCAGATCAGCTGGCGCAAAGATATTTGGATGTAATGGTACGATTGCATAGAGTGCCTGTTAACATCGTGTCAGATCGTGACCCAAAGTTCACATCGATCTTCTGGCAGGCCTTTCAGATGGCGTTGGGCACGAAAGTGCATCTTAGCACAGCTTATCATCCGCAGACCGACGGACAGTCCGAGCAAACAATCCAGACTCTTGAGGATATGTTGAGAGCTTGTGTTTTAGACTGGGAAGGTAAATGGGGAAAGTATCTACCATTGGTTGAATTTTCATATAACAATAGCTTTCACTCCAGTATTGGAATAGCTCCATATGAGGCTCTGTACGGGAGACCATGTCGAACCCCGCTGTGTTGGACTGAAGTGGGGGAGAGACAAGACTTAGAGTCGAGACTGATTCAAGAAACAGTAGAACAAGTGTAATTACTAAAGGAAAGACTGAAAGAAGCACACGATCACCAGAAGAGTTATGCGGATCAGCATAGAAAGGATTTGGAGTTCACCGTTGGTGATGCTGTGTATTTAAAGATGAGGATGTTCCGAGGAACCAATAAAAACCGTAAGCTGAAAAAGTTGAGGCCAAAGTTCATGGGGCCGTATAAGATCATCGAGAGGATAGGGGCAGTTGCCTATCGGTTGGACTTACCACAAGAGTTGTCTGACTTTCATGATGTGTTTCATGTATCAGTTTTGAGGAAAGTGGTCCGTGAACCAGAGCTGATCTTAGCTGTGCCGCCTATGGACATGGGCCGTAACTTATCCATTACGACTAAACCGGTAGAAATCTTGGACTGTCAAGAGTCAGAAATTCAAGGGAAGAAGACCAAGTTGGTTCGTGTTCGTTGGGAAAGAGATGGAATCCGGGAAGAAACTTGGGAGCCCGAGGCTGTAGTTCGGGCGAGTTATCCAGAGCTCTTTGGGGGCGTTGGTGTGCCTCAGGATGTCGATTCGAATTCGGGGGCGAATTACCGTTTAGTGGGGGAGAATTGTGACATCCCAGGCCCAGGCCCAGAAGTGAGTGTGCATAGAAGCCCATTTCTGATTGCAGGCCCACCAGCCCAAGGCCCATTCCGAGTTGACCTAGGGTTGTAGCTCCCTTCCCCTATCAATACTGATGCCCCCTTTGCTGAAAAACCATTCAGAAATTTCCAGCAAAGCTCTGCCCAGTTTCTTTCAGAGCATCTCGCTGGAACAGTCGCCGGAGCCGCCGTTGACCGTCGCCGACCACCGTCGACCACCGACGTTTGCCGTCGCTGGAAAATCGCCGGAGTCGCCGGGAACGTACCCCTTCGTGCCGTCTTCTCGAATCTGCTGCTATCTTCCAGCGTAGACTTCGTGGTTAGTAGATCTGAGCCTTTTCATTTCAGATCTAGATCTACTTTTTCAGATCTAGATCTAGTATCCCAGATCTACTTTTTCCAGATCTGGATCTATTATTTTTCTAATTTTCTTTTCCTTTTTGCTGTGGGGTCGGATCCATGCCGTCGTAATGCCCAGATTCGTTCGGCGAGGACCCGCAGTAACCAGGTCTCCTTCCATTTCCGTTTTCCTGTTCCGATCTGAGACTAAGGTGAGGACTGGCGTGATCTATCTCTCTCACATTCATAGTTGTTTCATATTGAGTAGTCTTTTGTTAATCCGTGCATACCTGCGTTGTATCTATATGAATACACGTATTTGATTGTTGGTTGAACCTGATTAGTAACGCGTTCGTAACACCATAGTAATTATCATTGTCCTGCGGTTGTTGAATGATGAACTTAGTATCATAGGTTGTTAAACGGAATACTGTTGATTGATGTATGAATAGTGTTTGCGGGTGTTTGTATTACATAGGGACAATCACTTGCGGGCTAGGGTTAGATGTAGGAACCTCTTTTGATATGTATGGTTTGGATATGGAGGCGTGTGTGACTCCATAGTCCATCATTGGTGGCTTGACGAGCCCTGCGTCTTGAGGACGGACATCATGAGGGGCGTGGATGCACCAGTTAGGTCTAGTGGTGTCATTTCTTGATCTATGAGTGTCTTCAGACATGTTTGCCTGTGTTTATTAGCTTAGGACTTTCGTCTGGAATAGTTATGCATGTGTGAGATGTATATCGTGGGTCCCTAGGACCCGCCCTCACTGAGTATTGTTGGAATACTCATCCCCCTTTCCTATGCAGGTGAGCGCGTAGACATTCAGGAGTAGTCTGGTGGCTTGATGATGGTTTTGGAAATATGCGGGTTTTTTTAATTTTATTATTCGGTATTTATTTTAAAGATATTATTTAAATTCGGATTTATTGGTTAAGTTAAAATGGTTTTTGTAAGACGTTTTGAATACGATCCTTGGGAATAAAAGTGGCATTGAACTAGCAAGTGATTTTTGTGGTGAAAATTAATGCACTTTAACATGCCGGGTTTTAAAAAAAGCGGGTGTTACACATATAAAACTATTAAAAATAGAAATACTAGATTATTAACAATACCCAATATCAATTACAATCTGGACAGAGAACTGAGAAAATATGAGAGACGGGATTTTCTAAATATATACCTCGAACAATACTATCTTCCGATAAAAAGTAAATCAAATGTAATTTACACTACTGCCTAATCGTTTTCCTCATCAAATTGATCCACTTATCCTCATCCAGCAACCAATACACTCCAAAAAATTTTGGACAGCGCGAAGCTCCGACATGTTCACCGCCGACTATGTCCTCGGCAACATGGAAGGACGACTTTCAATAAATTTATGATATAATTGAAATATAGAAGAAATAATGGAAATATTATTATAGACCCACAAATAGGAACCAATTCTTACTTAATGGGCTTTAATGGGCCTCGGGATTTTGAAACAATAAGTGACATATATACTCTTTTCCAATCTAAATAAATAAGAATTCAACTAAACCAAATTCAACAAACTTTTATTAAATACATTCGCGCGTGCGCGGATCAAACCCCTAGTATTGTATGAACTAAAAAAATATAGTCGATTTCACCAAAATCACTTATAAAGTTATTTATGCCGTTAGCGATTGCTGACTAGGATGACATGTGGTGTAGAAAAATAGTCGATTCCCCTATAAAATTTTAAATTTTTGATGATTCATATACGATTTATGAACCAATGCTAATAACTATATGAACTATTTAAAATTTTGAAAATACTATTTGAACTAAAAATATATGGTCGATTCCACCAACACATACAGTAAACTCTTTATAAATTAATAATATTGAGACTTCAAAATTTTATTAAATTATAAATAACTTTATAATTTATTATAATATATAAATATTTTTCAGTTTGAATTCTAACTGTTCATCAAAAGACAAAAACAAATATTTTCAATAATGTAAAGCTTATTCAATAATGTCATAAGAATGAATTTGGAAGACAAATCAAATAACATTTATAAACTTAAAACAATAATATAATTAGATTTAACTATATTATATTATTTATATATGCCTAAATATATAATTATTGATTTTATTAGGACCATATTTTTACATAGAAATTCTAAAAAAAAATTATCTTGTTATCTTATCAAAATTTGTTAATTTGTTCTTGATCCGATTTAAAATCGGTAAAATTTATCAATTTATAGTGATTACTAATTTACCAAGTATTAGTTTATAGAGATTTTAGTGTATAACATTAATTACAGCGTTAGTGATTGTTAATTGGAATAATACGTAAAAATTTGTTGCATTATTTTAGAATGATATTGTATCTAAGTCCTGTCAAACATACAATGACGTTTTGAATGTTTTAGATTCAATTTGCTAAAACTTTGTTTCGAATTAAACATTAAAAATTTCAACTAAAAGATATCTCTATAAAAATTTATTAATTTATCTAAGAAACCTGTAAGTTTATAGAGGAATTAATCATATTTCCACACGCATTAACGTGCAATGAGCATCTCAAGCCAAGTAAAAACATTTGTTTACTTCGAACAAAAAAAAATATAGAAAAAAGAAAAACCCAGAAGTCAAATACTGATAATCTAGTGGTGACTACTACTAAAACTTATTTTGATCAAACACATTTTTTACTTGCATCAAATCCGAGATCTCTTCCACTTTTGCACAAAACCCTAGATCCAGACCTCCCCCAACAATGGCGGACGAGAAGAAATCCAAGCAGAGACATCGGACCATGGTCTTGGAGTCGATGTATCCAGTCTTAGCGCTAATGCTCATACTCGTCGCTTGCGTCGAGCTCTGCGACGCCGCCACTGTTGTCGATGTTTACCGTCTTATCCAATACGACATCTCCGGCGTTCCTTTCGGCTCTCGTTTCTCCTCTCTCAACCACCACGCCGCTTCCATCAGCTTCCAGCGCGGCGCCGATTTATCTCGCTCTGTACTTATCCTCCCACTCCGGGAACTCGATATCGGTTTCGTTCAAGGTACTTTTCGATTCGGTTCGCGGATTAGCTCCCATTTTGATTAGGTAGCTGATTCGCAGTTTGATTTGGATCGGGTTTTAGTGAGGTTTAAGTTTTGTTTACATACATGTTATTGTCTTACTTACACTTTGAAGATGATGGCAGAGTACATCTCGCAAAAGCAGTCTCTTGGAGGATTGTTGATTCTGCTTCCCCAGACGTTTAGACCTGGAAATGTTGGTGGTGGTAATCTAATCTCTGAAACTGAAGGGTTCAGGAAATTGTTAGCTCAGCTTGAGAAGATACTGGTCCATGGCAACATACCTGTGAGTGTTTTGTTTCATATGTATAGTATTAACTATTAAGTTAAAAAGCACTCTTTTATTTAGGTAGCGGAGTGGTGTACATAGTCCTTATGGTAATCGCGGTTTCTTCTTACAGTTTCCTGTGTACTTCGCGTTTGAGAACGAAGAGACTGATGCTATGTTGGCTGATGTGAAGAAAAATGATGCACTTGGTCAACAAGCTACTGCAACCACTGGCGGGTTAGTCAAATTATTATGCAATGAGCTCTCTTTGAACTATCATGAGATTTTGGAGTAACATACCTTCTGGCCAACAGTTTTGTTAGAAACTTAAGTATGAAAATGATGATATGTGACTTCAAGATTGGGGAAGCTACCTTTTAAAGACTTAGTTACTAGCACATCTTATCTATATATAGGTAGTTGCTTGAAGCTTTATCGAACTGTGTAACACCATTTAAAGATGTCATTCTATCTCCGATATTGTTTATTTCCAAAGGATGCTTTATTGATGAACTTTTATTTCAGTATGTATGTAAACTATTTCTTTCTGTAACTATTTTCAGATATAAGCTTGTTATCTCTGTATCAGAGCCTAGGAAAGTTGCATCTCCCACCATCACAAACATTCAGGTAACTCATAATTTGACTCTGATAATGTCATGACTAACTTTGATACCTATGAAAAGTAGCATGACCTTCTTTGTTGTGTCGTGAGCTATAAGCTAATTTAGTTTTGGGAACTTCGGCTGTCTATATTTTAAGATGAGTATGGTTACCATGACAGTCTATAGACACCTCAATTGTTAAAATCTGATGGTCTGGTTTGTAATTTCCTTAGTATAGGATCAATTAAGCTCTACCGTTTTCAGCAACTAAGGATTTGGTGTACACGTCCCTCATGTTTAGTATCATTGATACTAGGTTGAACTTTATTACTTTATCCTAATTTTGATCTTCCCGCTCCCGTGCTGGTTTGTTTCCGATGCTTGGCATACAGAAAGCCTGAGATGATTGATTTGTGTGTAGGGATGGCTTCCAGGATCAAGAGCAGAGGGAGATTCAAACCAGCTTCCAACGATTGCTGTAGTTGCATCCTATGATACCTTCGGAGCTGCTCCTGTATGTAATATGAGTAGTGGATATTCTTACTATTGTGGTAAAATCAGTATGTACCTGATTAACTTGTATTTGTAGGCATTATCAGTTGGAAGTGATAGCAATGGAAGTGGGGTCGTAGCACTTCTTGAAGTAGCTAGACTATTTTCCATTCTGTTCTCAAATCCTAAGACAAGAGGAAGATACAATTTACTTTTTGCACTGACATCTGGCGGACCCTACAACTATGAAGGAACTCAAAAGGTACTAGACCTTACTTACTGATCTACTAAAACCATATTTTTGTTCATATTTTGTTTGTTGCATTTGCAAACTTCTTAGTATTCTTCATTAAGCATCATATTTTCTGCAGTGGCTGAAGAGCCTTGATCAGAGGATGCGTGAGAGCATTGATTATGCCATTTGCTTGAACAGTGTTGGCTCTTGGGACAATGAATTATTGGTTCACGTGTCAAAGCCTCCGGATAACGCCTATATAAAACAAATTTTCGAGGTAAAAAAGAAAGCAGATGCACCGTTGCAGTGATTAGCTAGTAGCTATTATGGTTCATTGGTTAATGGATTCATCTTTGCCAGGGCTTCTCTAATGTGGCAGAAGACTTGGGTTTTCAAGTTGCTCTGAAGCACAAGAAGATTAATATCTCTAATTTAAGAGTGAGTCAATACTTCACCTTTTGAATGATTCAAACTAGGCTTGTCTTTGTAACAGAGCGGTATGTCGAGAGTATTTTGTAGTTTCTTATGCCCTTTTTGATCTTGATTCTGGAAATCTTAGGTGTCTAATTGATTGATAGAACTATACCGAAATTTGGATAGTTGGAATGCCCCTGTCACGATTTGATAGTTATTTGCAATCATTAAGCTTTTCTTGTTATGCAGTGCGTAGGCTCCGAATTTACATGTTCAAGTGCTAAATATTTATGATAACCTAGTTTTGCTTAGTTGATTGATATCATCCCCCACTTCCTTTAATTATCTTCTCCTGTAGGGGTTACTTGAGATATCTGAGTAATGCTATATTCTCTCTCTGGCAATTGTTTCGCTGTTCCTTACAGTAGACCCTTTCTGATTGAATATGTACTGATAAATTCTTTAGGTTGCTTGGGAGCATGAACAGTTTTCAAGACTTAGAGTAACTGCAGCCACTCTATCTGAACTTTCGACTCCACCCGAGTTACTGGAAAGTGCTGGAAGTCTGTCTGACACAAGGTATCATTTACAACAGTAATCATTTGTTTTGTTCTGTGCACTCTGATACACTATTTTAAACGTATGGTTTTCTGTTTCATCCATCAAGAATTGCCATTATCTTTCAGACTAAATATTCTTTTTCTATAGGCAACTTATGAGCGAGGACGCTATCATTAAAGGTGTCAAGTTGGTGGCTGAAAGCCTTGCGGTAAGACAACCAGTTAACGCAAGTACTTACGTTGTTTACGATCTCAGTGATGCTTAAATTGAAAGACAAAACATAATAATTTGTATTTTCTTCTTCTTTTTTTTCTGATAATTGACTGAAATGTTTTCTCGTTTCCTACAGAGGCATATCTATGGTCACCAAGGAAAAGACATCAAGATTTTTGCGGATGACAGTAGTTTGGCTGTAAATCCGTTTTATGTGAGATCATGGTTGGATCTATTGTCACAAACTCCTCGAGTGGCACCGTTCCTATCAAAGAACGAACCATTAATCATGGCTCTGAAGAAGGTATACTATCGAATTCTTACCCCGTTTTCTCTCAACCACTGTTTATGATTTCTTGTGTTAACTACGCGATCTACCTCTCGGCAGGAACTGGAGGATTATACGGCTGAAGTGAGTGTTCAACATGAATCTTTAGACGGAAGTTTCACTTTTTACGATTCAACAAAGGCTAGCCTTAACATATACCAGGTACTTTCATCGTGGTCTCTTGATATATTCTTAACACTAAGCTTCTTTGTTCATACGATCTGAAAGTCTATTTGATGTTTGTGTTTTGTAGGTGGCGAGTGTAACGTTCGACTTGCTCTTGCTTCTGGTGTTAGGATCATACTTGATAGTACTATTCAGTTTCCTCGTAATCACAACTCGGGTAAATATAAAAATCCGATTGATCTTATTATTTATACATGTTGTGTTAATTATGGAAGCAATTTTAACGGGAAGTCGCTTATTGGAATCGTGGCAGGGTCTTGATGACTTGATAAGCTTATTCCGCCGGCCTCCTTCCCGGAAAGTGAAAATGGCTTGATTCTTCCGTTCCCGGGCGGTAAATTTATATTCTTCATCTTTCTTTTGGCGATTCACTCTCAGATTTGTTTAGTGAGTCGTTAAGAATTTGAACCATGAAGAATTCACGAGAGAAGAGGCAAAAGAAAATGAGTGTTCAGAATGAGCTTTTGGCCCCACCTTCGACTATTTTGTTTCTAGTTGTATGCATCTTGTTATTTTGTGTGGGCGGCAAAGAAAATAAGTTCTAACCTTTGTAGCTTTTTCTTTGGTTAAAATCCCTTCTTATGTCTTTTTCTTTTTAATTTAAAGAAATTGCAATATCTACCTATACATCATATCTATTACTAATATAGGTGATGCCAAATGTCTCTAAGACCATCTCCATTGGGGAACTCCAAATTAGTTTTTTAACAATTTTTTTAATTTAAAATTTTCATCATTTTATTTTAAGAATTTTGCTAAAACATTTTTATTTTTTTCTCTTCCATTGGTAGAATTCTATTAAGAATTTTTAAGAATTAAAAAATTAGTATATTTTAAAAGTTAGTAATGAGAGATAAGTTTTTCAAAAGTAACACTTTGGAGCAATCAAAAGCAGATATTTATTATCGGAAGCTGGTGCAGGGGTCTGAATCATTTCTTTCGATACAAATCCAGCATAAATCAGTTTGTCACAAATCCCGTCTGTCTGCCCCAGACTCCACTTCTCACGAGATCTCCGCGCAAGCCGAGCTTATGCGGCTCCACCAGAAAATCAATGAAATTAAGTCACAAGTCCATAACGCAACCAGCTCGGCCCCCGAGCTCGAACAAGTCCTGAAACTCACTCAGCAGACACCGTTTGCAGAGTGCATTACTCGCGTGCCCCTACGCAACACCGTGAAGCTTAAACTTCCAGCAGCGTTTGTCGGCAACACAAACCCACAGAAACACCTCATGACCTTCAACAACGCCATGAACTGTGCCCGGTTCTCACCCGAGGAACACGACGCTTCCCTCTGTCAATACTTCGTAGAGTCTCTGGCTGGAAACGCACTCCAGTGGTTCTCCAAACTCCGACCATACTTCATCGAGACGTTCGCCCAGCTCTCTCTGGAATTCCTCTGACACTACTCCATGTACATCGAGAGGGGGAAACACCTCCGACCTCTGGACATACATCCAAGGAGAGAAGGAAACTCTCCGGGATTACATCGGTCGTTTCCGCACGGTCGTTTCCCGATGCGACCCGACAGATGAGAATGCCATAATCGCCTTCAAGCTCAACTTTCGTAAAAACCAGAAGTTCTATGACAAAATCGCGACCGGCAAAAACCAATCCCTCGATGAAATCCTCCACAAAGCCACCAAATTCATGAATCTGGAGGACACACAAGCCAGGGAGGACGAAAAACTCGCAGCAAAGAAGAAATCCACAAGCTCCCGACCTAAAGAAGAGAAATACCAGGAACCCCACCATCACTACGACTGCGACGACAAGGCTCACAGATCCAACGTTAACGCCATCACCCGACCTCACCCATGGAACAAATGGGTAAACACCTCGGGCAGCGCCTCCGGATTGCAACTGTATTGTACCTGGCACAAACGCTCCGGTCACGACGACCCCGAATGTCGCCACCTTAGAGACGTCCTCATGCAGGAATGGTTAGCCGGTCATATCAAACTGGATGACCGATTACGTGACTCAGCACGCCGACCCCGTACTAATCAACCCCACCCTCGAAACGACGACCTACGCGCCCCCGCGCCTCAAGAACACGCCCGTCCTGACGAGAATCCCAAGCGTGCACGGGAAGACTCGCCACCACCACCGCCAGCCCTCCCGTCACCCCGACGCAGGATCAACATGATCATGGGTGGCCTTCTTACATGCAACGACTCGATCAACTTGATCAAAAAGCATGAGCGCCGTGCCACGAACGCCAAGAAAGGGACACCGGTCTATGACGACACCCCGCCCATCACCTTCACGGAAGCAGACGCTGAAGGCCTTGACCGCCCACACAATGACCCACTCGTTATCTCCCTCTGTATCGGTTCGGACGATGTATCGAAGATCTTGATCGACACAGGCAGCTCCGTTGATCTATATATTCAAGACCACCCTAATTCAGATGGGGATCAAAGACAGCGAAATCAAACTCGCCTCGAAAGCACTCACGGACTTCGCTAGTGACTCTACCTCTACCATCAACACAATCAAGCTACCCGTGACGACCGAAAGAGGCATCGTCACCATGATAAAGTTTGATGTCATCGACAAACCGGCCATTTATAACGTCATCCTCAGGACACCGTTGATCAGTACTATTCGAGCTGTCACTTCACCGTATCATCAGTGCCTGAAGTACCCAGGCAGAAATAGAATCATCATGATCCGAGGCAACCAGCGCGAATCCCGATCTTGTGACATCGCCGAGCAACGTGTCCGACACTCGTCTACATTCGTCATCGACAGTATGGACCCCCGCATCATACATCACGAGAAGCCAAAGAATGACCTAGTCGTACAAGTGAGCATCGACATCGAGCACCCCGAACGATGCGTCGGAATCGGCACCGAGCTTCTTCCTAGTATGTGCGACGACCTCATCGCCTTCCTCCATAAGAACGTTAACACGTTCGCATGGTCCATGGCAGATATGAAGGGGATCAGTCCAGACATCACCAGCCACGAGCTGAACGTGGACGTCACGTTCAAACCTATCAAACGGAAGAGGCCCAAACTCGGTCCCGAGCAAGCTCAGGCTGTCCAGGACGAAGTCGAGAAGCTCCTTGCTGCCGGATCAATTCAAGAGGTTCAGTACCCGGACTGGCTCGCCAACCCCGTGGTAGTAAAGAAGAAAAACGGCAAATGGCGCATTTGCATCGACTTCACGGATCTCAACAAGGCCTGCCCTAAGGATAGCTTCCCACTGCCACGCATCGATCAACTCGTAGAAGCAACCGCCGACAACAAGCTGCAATCCTTCATGGATGCATTCTTGGGGTACAATCAGATCATGATGCACCCCTCAGACCAGGAAAAGACCTCGCTCATCACAAACAGAGGAACGTACTGTTACAAGGTGATGCCATTCGGGCTCAAAAACGCCGGCTCTACTTACCAGAGACTGGTTAACAAGATGTTCGCCGACCAGCTCGGGCACACAATGGAGGTCTACATCGATGACATGCTTGTCAAGTCACTAAAGGCCGACCATTATATCATCTACCTGCGCGAATGCTTCCAGATTCTCAACACCTACGGGATGAAGCTGAATCCCGCGAAGTGCACCTTCGCGGTCACATCCGGCGAAATCCTTGGTTATCTGGTCACTCAACGCGGCATAGAAGCAAACCCGAAGCATATCTCAGCCATCCTCGAGCTACCCTCACCACGCAACACACGCGAGGTCCAAAAGCTGACCGGACGGATCGCCGCCCTCAATCGCTTTATCTCCCGGTCCACGGATAAATGCCTCCCGTTCTACCAGCTTCTTCGCAGCAACAAACGTTTCCTTTGGGACGACAAGTGTGAATAAGCTTTTCAACAACTGAAGCTTTACCTCTCGACGCCTCCCGTGCTCGCCAAACCCGAAGATGGCGAAACACTATACCTGTACGTCGCGTTGTCAAGCTCGGTCATCAGCGGTGTCTTAGTCCGAGAAGACCGCGGTGAAAAGAAGCCGGTCTTCTACCTCAGCAAAAGTTTAGACGGCTCGGAGCTTCGATACCCGACCTTAGAGAATCTCGCCCTTGCAGTGGTCGTGTCATCCCGAAAGCTATGCCTGTACTTCCAGTCTCATACGATCGCCATACTGACAAGTCAGCCGCTCCTGACTACTCTACACAGCCCGACCCAATCTGGCCGGATGGCCAAGTGGGCCATCGAGCTTTCGGAGTTTAACATCGAGTACCGCACCCGTACCTGCGCCAAGTCCCAGGTCTTGGCTGACTTCTTGGTCGAGTTGCCACCTGAGCTTCTCAGCGACGACCTCACCACGGTTCAACACTGGAATCTTCACGTGGACGGTTCATCCAACCGACACGGCTCGGGGATCGGGATTCAGCTCGAATCTCTGACTGGCGAAGTCCTCGAACAATCATTCCGCTTGGATTTTCCGGCTTCCAACAATGAAGCCGAGTACGAAGCCCTCATCGCTGGACTACGACTCGCTCGCGGCATGAACATCAAACACATCCGGGCATTCTGCAACTCCCAACTCGTAGCAAACCAGTTCAGCAGAGACTACGACACCAAAGACGAATGGATGGACAAGTATCTCAAACTTGTTCAGAGCCTGGCAAAGGAGTTCAAGACCTTCGGATTATCCAAGATACCCCGAGCAGAAAATACCGAAGCAGACGCCCTGGCTGCCCTGGCTTCAAATAAAGACACCGACCTCCGCCACTTGATCCCGATCCAAAGCATCGAAGCCCCGAACATCGATCCGGATTGTGGCGTTTACTCCGTTACATATCAAGAATACGAAACCGACGCCCCGCTCAAGGAACCAACAGAACGGGAGCCAGAGGACTGGCGCGACAAAATCCGTGCTTACTTAGCCAATGGCGTGGAACCTAAGGATTGTTGGGCAGCTCGTCGCCTCCGAATCCGCAGTGCTCACTATTCACTTCACAAAGAACATCTCATGCGATGGACCGCCGCTGGCGTCGTATTACATTGCATCGCTGGCGACGAGATCTGCCGCGTCATTAAGGAAACTCACGATAGAGCCGGAGGTAACCACTCCGGAGGACGGACTCTTGTCATGAAGATCAAAAAATCAGGCTACTTCTGGCCAACGATGATGGCAGATTGCAAAGACTACGCGAAGAAATGCGAGTATTGTCAGAGGCACGCTCCAATGATCAACCAGCCAACCGAGTTACTTACATCGGCCGTCCTGCCCTACCCCTTCATGAGATGGGCTATGGACATCGTCAGACCGCTTCCCTTCTCGCGTCAAAGGAAATACATGCTCATCATGACGGATTACTTCACAAAGTGGGTGCAGGCTAAGGCATTCGTTCGAATCCAAGACAAGGAGGTTCAGAATTTCGTCTGGAAATACATCATCTGCCGCCACAGGCTACCCTACGAGATCGTGATGGACAACGGCTCCCGATTCATCTCCAAGAAGTTCGAAGGCTTCTGCGAGTTATGGAAGATACGACTAAGTAAATCCACCCCGCGCTATCCTCAAGGGAACGGTCAAGCAGAAGCGACAAACAAAACCATCCTTGACGGAATCAAGAAACGACTCGACGCTAAGAAGGGACTTTGGGCCGACGAACTCGATGGTGTACTTTGGTCCCATCGTACAACACCCCGCACCGCCACCGGCAAAACCCCATTCTCCTGAGCATACGGATGCGAAGCGATGGTTGCCACGGAAGCAAACGTCCCGAGC